GTTTGAAACAGAGAGGAGATCCAGCAGGTAGACTGCGGATTTTTGTTATAAGTACATCGTGAATAAATAAGATCTGGTGTACAAGCCGTCGAACATTAAGAGATGTTAAGTTTGACCCAATGTATAAATCACAGTGGTGAGTCCTATATGGGCAGTTCAATGCAAATATTAAGGCCGAGTGATACATTGAGTTAAGCTTCTTCAGTACAGTACTTGGGGCTGATTTATACACGATGTCACAGTAATCAAGTAGAGGCAGTACGGTAGCTTTTATCAATTCCAAACGGAACATAGGGGGGAAGCAGTGCTTGTGTCGATACAGAAAACCAATTTGTTTATCTTTTTACCAATATAATGAACGTGATCTTCAAAATTCAGTTTGAATCCAGGATGACCCCAAGATTCTTATAGATGTTAACTTTCTCTATTTGATAATTATTTAAGGAATGTAATTTGGGAAAAATAACTTACTGCTTTAGTCCTGTTGAGAAACATAGCACCTTGGTTTTGGAGGTATTCAGGACTAGTTTAAGAGCAACGAGCTAATGTTGTAGTTTGTTGAAATCACTCTGGAGCTTAGCAATCACTTCATCCGGAGAGCAGCCAGCAGTAATCAGTATCGTGTCATCTGCAAAAAGATTTACCCTGGAATGATCCAGGTCAGTGCCCAAGTCATTGACATAAAGAGAGAACAAGAGGGGGCCGAGGATGGAACCATGTGGAACCCCTTTTGTTATATTAACACTGTTTGACCTCCAACCATCTGTGAATACAGTTTGGATGCGAAAAGAGGTAATTTTTTAACCATACTGGGTTTTCGGAAAAACCGAAGCAACTTAGTTTACTAAGCAGGGTGTTGTGGTCTACTGTATCAAAAGCTTTGGAAAAGTCAAGAAAAAGACAGGTGCAGTACTGCTTATTATCAAGGCTACTGTAAATGTGATTCAGAGAGTCTAATGCAGCAGATGTGGTGCTGTATTTTTTTCGGAACCCAGATTGTTTTAGATGTAATATATTGTTGGCTGACAGGACTCTGCTAATTTGGTAGTTCAATAATTTTTCAACATTTTTCATCAACAGGGACAAAATTGAGATAGGTCGGTAGTTTAGGGCCCCCTTTGTGAAGTGGACGAACATAGGAATGTTTCCATTTTAGAAGAACTGATGCTTCTTTGATGGACAGGTTGAAAATATGGGCTATAGGTTTGTATATTAGCTGACCAACAGTTATTAGAGCAAAGACGGGAATTCTATCTGCTCCGGTAGAGGAGAACCCTTTGAGGTAGGACAGTTGTTTCAGAACATTACTTTCGTGGATTGGCTGGAAACTAAATTCGTTTAATGTTTGGACAGGGTGTAGGAATTTGTATGAGCAGGGGTGACTCCCAATACATTATCAAAAAGGTTACCAGCTTAAAAAAAATGAAGATTAAAATTGTCAACTATTTTTTTGGGATCTGAAAAATATTACCCATTTCAGTTAAGCTCAATGGGCAGATTATCTGTTTTGGATGCCTTTTCGATACATTTTATTGTTTTCCAGAAAATCCTGGCATTTCCATGTGATTCCAGGAGAGTGGAGGAAAAGTAGACAATTTTTGCATACCGTATTTTTTGACGCATCTATTCCTTAAAATCCTGTATTCTAGCCAGTCATTGACCAAATTACTTTTCTGAGCACATGCCCAAGTATTGTCTCTAGTGAGCTTAGTAATCAAAGGATCAAACCATGGTGGGCGGTTGCTTTTAGTTTAAAATCTAACCAACGGAGCATGTTTGTTAAGAATTTGGAGAAACGTGTACCTGAAAGTCTCCAAAGTCGTAGTCAGGTTGGGTATATCACAGACCTTATCAATATCCAAGTGAAGCGCATCATTAGTAAATGCCTGAGTGCTGAAGTGTCTCATGGAGTGCTTCTCAACCAATTTAGGGGGGCTTTGGGTCTGACTAAAGATTTCACCCCAAAAATGAAAGAGTGATCACCAAGGTTATTACCCAGAACACCAGTCAGTGCGAAATTGTGAGGACCATTTGTCAATAGGACGTCAAGCAGAGATGACTGTACCGGATTTTTTAGGTTGGGCCTTGTGGGGACATTTATTAATTGAAATAGGTTAAATTCATCTGCAAAATTTGTGGCCACGGCCGGCGGGTTTACCCAATTCCAATTTAGATCACCCACTAAAACTATTTCACCTTTAGGGAGGCCCCCAAGAAGCTCTCTCAGTGCAGAAGCAGCATCAACATACTTCGCACTAGGCGATCTATAGCAGCACACTACCAATAGCTGTTGATTATTTGCGAGAGTTATTCTGAGAGCCAGACCTTCAAAGCAACATTTTTTAAACAAGGAGTGAGCTGGTAAACATGTGTCGTGCCGTAGATGGGCCACACTTACCGGCAGTGGTGGACAGGGCCCATCTGTAGCTATCTCGGACCCCCAGGGAAGGGGCCACTGTGCCAGCCCAAGAGGGGGGGGGCTGCTGAGGGCTCAGGATCCTAGGCAGTTAAGCCCTCGGCGCCGGGGCCTCAGAATCCCAGACAACCCAGACAGCTGAGCCCCTTGGCGCCACCAACGGGGGGCTGCAGAGGATCTAGGATCCCACGCAACCCCACCCTTTGATGGGCAAGGGGGATAAAAGGGCCGCTCCCCAGCCGATCGGGGCTAGTCGCAGCTCAAGATCCAAGACCAGCCAGCTTAGGACCTGGACCCCCTCGCCCCGCTTGTCCTTGTAAGGGCCGGGACGCTTGTGTGGGCCAGTGGTGGGACTCCCGGCTCTACACCCTTGTAAGGGCGAGATCCGAGGAAGCCAAAGTCTAGACCCGCACCTTGGCTGGGTCGGGTCAGGTAGCCTCCCCTAGGGTAATGTTAGCCGGAGGACCCGAGAGCGTAGCCAGTGTCAGGCACGCTAGAAGTAGGCTGTGTCCCTAGTCTGTAACAATGTATCAGGACTGTTGGAGTGTTATATTGTAATAAAGAAGTTACCTCTACAAGTGTCTCCGGATCCCATTACACATGCAATAGTATTACCAACATAGATGGTAATTCCACCTCCTTTAGATCCTCGGTCGCGCCAAAAGAGGTTGTAGTTGTCAATCGTAATCTGCAAGTCATTTACAGCAGGAGTGAGAAATGTTTCTGGTACGCAAAGAATGTCCGGATCAAGATTTGCCACTTCTAGTTTTAGTTGACATAATTTAATCACAAGCCCTCTGATGTTGACATGTAGAACACCAACACCCTTTCTGCCAGAAAAATCTGCAGAATTATACGAGTTCTTTACATTTGGGCCAGGGTGAAGCTCAACACCACCCAGAAATAAGAAAAGTATAATTAATAGTTTGCACATGTATTTTCTGTGAAAGGATGAAAAGCGACGAACCTTGGACGAATAGCAGCACCTCACAGTTGGTGGTATTTTAAAAAGCAGAATGACGTTTGGAAGGAGTACTGGTGAAGTAATGGGACAAAGATAGGGTTTAAAAGGATACAATGGAGTGTATAAGTGTCTACAAGCTGTTTCATTAGCCTGTGTAGCGACAAATCGAGCAACAAGTATGGACCCAAAGTCACGAGGGTAGCCGTTTGTAGAGTTGAGTGTGGCACTAAATATGGCCGGGAGGGACAGCAGTAGGATACACAGCAGGATAACTGCCATCTTTAAACAATCCGGGGTACGTACAGTTTAACACACATTGCGGAAAATAAAAAAAACATATACTTGTAGGCCGAGCGCGAGAATACGTCTTGCCGCACTCGTCACACATGCACGGCTTCTCGCCCATTTGTTAGGGTTGAACAGCCACCCCCCCAGACAGGGACAGCAGATTCTTGGTTGCTGTGGCTCCGCTGTAACGCTTGCACCGCCACCTTTCACCGCCGCAGGATGGTGCTCGAGCAAGCCCTCCTTGAGCTCAGCCCACTGCTGGAATGTCGTTGCTTGACCTCTCGTGTCTCTGTTTCAATGCTGTGGGCACACATGACATTGTTTTCTCTGACACCAAGGTGCTCTGCAAACCCTCGGGCGACCATCACCTCGCATCATAATTTTGTTCATGAAGCCATCCAGATATAGAAACACTGACAAAACTTTAATCGAGAAGATGGATTCAGATTGAGCAATCATTGGAAGAACGTGATAAACCACGTCATGTTTTAACTGCTGTGATTTTCACTCACTCACCCGTCCCGTTTTTCGTTTTAGTGTACGAATTCAAGCTCATTGACATGCCAAATTCTCCAGCTCCACAACACCCCGTGCCAGCCCCCACCCATCCCTGCACGCCACAAACCCTCTCCCCGTGAACTCCTGCAGCCACGACTCTACAAAAACTCCTCCCCTCCCGTACCTATATAAAGCCACAACAGCAGATCATTCTCTCTCACCCGAAGGACGCTTGTGTTGCGACCAAAACGTCGTGTTTCTTTTATTTTTAAAATCTACGTGACTTTACCAAAAGAACCAGTGTATGGATTCCTGCAGTCACGAAAGCTTAAAATCAAAACTACCATACGCTATAGGAGAACTGTAATTTCCTAACCAGAAACTGTGGTGCACATCGTGTGAGGTGTTGGAGGGGTGTGGCTGTTACCTTGAGAGTGACTATACTCAAAGTGAGGTCTAGTAGGCGCCACGATGGCTCGGAGATGTTAACTACCTTACCTGATATGCAGGAGGTTCGTGAAGTTTGACCCTGACGATGCATGCTGCTGTTATATGTGGAGTTTGCATCTCTTTATCCCCCGTGGTGGTTGCATGGATTTTTAAGCCGCGTCCTCCGGTATTTCCCTTCACATTTAGAAACACGGGTTTAGAGTATTTGGCTGATGTACATTTCCACGTGACCATATCAGTCACTTCGTTGAGTTGCTATCATTTGTGATGGCCAGGTCGCTTCTGAAAAAAGAGGTACTACATAACAACTCAGTGGGGCCTTACACCTGGTAACAAAAATGGTTGAGTTTATATACTAATATGCATCTTTGTACAATTTTGCAGAACCAACTGTTAATTGCAGAACCGGAAGTGCTGATTTGGGGATTTCTGAACAATTAATTAAATGTCCAATCGGGCAAGACTCATGCGTTACGATGCAACTGACTGAAAGTAAGTGCTTCCAGGTCAAGGCTGCTGTATATTTGGAGTCTGCGTCTATCTCTCTCCCCCTGGATATGTTATCTCCCTCGCCTGGTATACATTTGGCAGTTGGTTCAATATCGGACCCTGGCGGTACCTGTTGTATATTTGGAGTCTCTCCCCATGGTGGTCACTGCATTGATTTTTTTTCGGGTCCTCCTGTAATATAAGCATTGTGCTTAGAACCGATTGGCCTACACCAGGAGACGGCAGCTTTCTTAACGGCCTTGTCTCTACACCAGTGACAGACCAGAGAACAATGCCAAAAGGTGAACAGTGCAAAGACAATGCCGAGTATCAGAGCACTTTCAGCTCGCGTTGAGCAGCGCTACTATCTATGGCATACCTTTGATGCCAGTATAAAAATTATTAAAAGATAACAATAAGCTTCGTACCTTTTCTGGCAACAAAACAGAGGTTGTGTTATAATGTTCAAACACCAAATAGATACTTATTGTACGGCATCATGTACAGCATTAACCACACACAGTACTCGTGGTAAACATGCACACGAATGTGCTCTAATAATATATTGTAATATATCAAAGCATGTTCATTTGCGATCGGTGAAGTTAATAAATTTGTCACAAAACCGCGATGGCTAAATCCTCTTATTTTGCACATTTTGGGATGCGCTTTACCAACAAGAAAAACGTTAGATTTCATTACAAACACGTGCAAATTGTATGTCGTTTATACTTAACTGCAGATTTTCTTTATCTTTTCTCCAATTACATCTCCATTGCAGATGGTATTCGCTCCTTGGCCAGAACCTGTTCCACAAAAGCACAGTGCGATGCGTCCGACTTCAAGTACCAGATGAAACAGTACATCCTCGGAAAACTGCCTAAGTTCGTTGGCAACGTCGATAGCACCTCCTGCTGCCAGACAAGTTATTGCAACTACGGTAATAAATAAAAAAAATCACGGTGGCGTACTTCAATGTGTTTGGGTTGTTTTCCTGAAAAATCTAAATGCGGTACCATACAGGCGGTCCCGGGGATACGAAACTTACGGGCGTATGACCACCCGCGTGCTTACGAACAGCCCGCGTGCTTACGAACAGCCCGCGTGCTTACGGACAGCCCGCGTGCTTATGACTGCCCGCGTGCTTACGAAGGCTCACGTGCTTACGACCGCCCGCACTTACGAACATCCCCCGTAAGATGAACTGCGGAACTACTTTGTTCAGCGAAGCGATCCTCCTCTAGATGTGATGAGGCCCCACATCCCGCGTGTTGCACTCCCCTTCCGACAAGGGAGCGAGCATCAGGAATCGAGGTGAGTGAAAATAGAACCGATTATTTTTTTCATGTTACTTTATTTTATGTTAAACTAGCGGTAAGTATCCGGCGTTGCCCGAGCAAAAAAGACAGACACACACATGGACTTACACACACTTTCTATGTACATGAGTTTAGTGGAAGAAGGTTGAAACAGAAATATAATTTGTCCGCACACAAACATGAATGTAATATTATGAAGGTGATTATTGAAAAAAAAATGTTTCTATGAAGGTGATTTGACACCCAAAAAAAATAATGCAGAGCAAGTGAATAATAAAACAATATTCGTGAGCACACAAACGAAAATATGTCAATATTTTGAAGGTGATGATAAAAATACCAGGTTTCTGTGTACAAGAGTTGAGCAAAAGAAGCATGGGATACAGAAATTAGTTGCCTGCACACAAACATTATTAATATACATTGACTTGTGTCTTTCGGTAAAGTCACGCAGATAGAAAAATAATGAAAAGTGTAAAAAATAGCACAATACCATACAACAAGAACTGCCATTCGACACTAAGTGGCGGTGACGTCACCAAGTGGCGGTGACGTCACCACGACGCTTGTGGCAGGTTATGTGCACATTGAGGCCACGGGAAGTGTCAAACGGCCGCTGGCAGGAGGTCACGGGGCAGACCCAGATGCCATAGGTTGACAGACTGAGACGACTGGCTGATGCACCACCTGTGCCCCCTACTGTTCCAACTTGCTGTGCTTTAGCCATCCGGCGCTCCGTTCATTGTTGTGAGCGTCGCTCCTCCGCCTCCCGTTGTTGTTGGAGGACGACTGCCTCCAACTGGCCAGTAGCGTCCTTCACGAGCCTCCTCTACAGAGGGCGATGTTGAGACTACTGGTACCAGTCATCGGCAAGTCCACTCAGCTAGACATCCTCCTGTAGCACATTACGCCATCTGTTCTCTAGCCCGTGCTGGTCACGTTTTGCCCCTACGATCCTGCTGAACAAAAGCTGTTTAGGCATGCGGTGGAGGCGGCATGCGGGCTACATGGCCCAGTCATTGCAGCCTTGCCTGCTGGAGGAGCTCACAGATGGGACTTTGTTCACATCTTTAAAGGATTTGTGAGCTCCTCACACAATCGAGCGTGGTTAGACCCAGGATGGATCGTAGGCAGGCCAGCCTAAATGGTTGTAACCGGTGAAGATGTTCCATTAGGGGGGTCCACGTTTCGCATGCGTAGCGAACAGAGGGAATGACTGTAGCCGAGAAGACCTGAAGCTTCGTGCGGAGCGACAGACCAGGTAGCTTTCACACAGCGTTATGCAACTGATGAAAATACAATGCCGCTGTTAAACCGTAGTCAGTCATGAGCACACTGCCCAGGTATGGCTAACTCTCCACTCTCTCCACAAGCGGCCCATCACCAATTACGAGTTGTGGGGGTGGAGTGTCCGATGGTACAAAATACCCAGGCAGGTGCTTAGTTTTGGTGGGGCAGATGGCAAGGCCCCACCTCTTAGTGGCAAGCTCCAGGTTCAGCAGCAGCGCCTCCAACTCGTCCTCTGAGTGAGCATGTTTACCATGTGTAGGGGTGTCAGGGGAAGGATTCCCACCAATAGGTGGGTTAGTGGGAGGGGTGATCGAGGAGATATAAGGAGAGAACGGGCGGGAAGAGGGGGCCTTTGGCGGGAACGATATTGGGACGGCTGGGGACAGGTGTGGATGGAAGAAAAGGAATAAAGGACGAGACCCCTGCAATCTGGTGTCGGCTCCCCTTTACATCTGGTGGCAGCGGTGGGATCACAATGGCTGCAAAGAAGAATCCCCACGGAAAAGAGCCAAGGGAAGAGGAAGCAGGGGCCGGGGATCCTTCCCATCCCGGGCAACACGGGGGCCTGCTATCAGAAGCAGCAGCAGGGGGCCTGGATCGCCTGGAGGACCCCATGGAGGACCGCATGGCCCGCGTGGAGAGGGCACTCCAGGAGCTACTGCAGAGGCTCCCTATGGGGGGCCCGCCAGCACCGGGACCCCCACCCCCACGCGTACTACGGGAGGAGAGGCCACGGGACCCGGAGGCCGACCAGCCGGCCGGGCAGGAGCCGCAACCAACCTCGTCACGCCAGCCCCTGCCGCTCCCGCCAAAACCCCCAGGGCTAAACACCCAACACGGAGAGCAGGTGGCCGGATGGCCGCGTCGGCTGGGGCCCGTCGACAAGTTCGTGGCTGAGGAAGAAGATTGGGAGGGGTTTGTCCGCCGATTCGAGGCTGCCTTCCACGCTCTCGAGTGGACAGACGAAGAGGCACTATGAGCGCTGCCATCCGTTCTGGGCAAGGAAGCACTCTCCTCTTACACCTCCCTTCCCTCGCACAGCAAGTCCACGCTACAGGCGGCCTACGAGGCTTTGGGGGAGATCTATTGCCCGGCGGAAGGAGCCTTTAAACGGTTCCAGGATCGCCAGCGAGGGGCTAAAGAATCCCCTTTAGCCTACAGGGGTGCGCTGCTCGTGTTGGCGAGGAGAGCTTTCCCTTGCCTGGCTGAAGAAGCGCTCGAGGACCTCGTGGTCGAGCACCTCATCGCCTACGCTTGCCGCGCCGGCGTTGTAATGCCCGTGGTGACGCCGGGGGAACGCACCTCGCTGTGGGCTGCCCGGACCATCCAAGCCCACGAGCAGGTCATGGGCCGGGCGCCACCCGTGGGCCCGGTGGCTGGCGCGGTGGGGAGGAACAGCCGAGCCGTTGCCGCGGCGCTACTGGGTCCAGCGACACCAACCGCCGAACCTGCACCGTCGCCACAGGCTGCCTGGGGGGCAGCTGGGAACGGACCCCCGACGTCTGAGACGGAGCCATCGCTTCGGGAGGTGTACGCGGCGATCCGGGGACTGGCGGAGCAGAGGGACCAGGGGCGCGACCAGCCGCCGCGTCGCTGGCAGCCGCCTCTACAACATCGCGCCGAGCCCCCCCGACGGAACGCCCCGTGGGTCTGCCACCATTGTGGTCGAGAGGGGCATGTGGCGAGGGGGTGCCGCACGGAGCCGGAGGCCGCCAACGTCACCTGGAACCCGCCGGGGCCGAACGCCGACAGGATCCAGGCGAGTGACGCCGTCCCGCCCGGCCTCTCGGTCGGGCCGAGCAATTACAATTCCGACGCCGCGAACTTATCGGGAGTCTCCTCGGGGTGGGCGCCGTCGGTGTCGTTCCCCGGTCCCCATTGTCTGGGTCGGGGGAAGGGGATCGCGCCGGAGATAGCGCCGGGGCCGGTGATTGCGTCGCGACCAGAAGTGGCGTCGCGACCCGGAGTGGTGTCGCGAACGGACGTGACGTTGCATCCGAAAGTGACGTCGCGGCCGAAAGTGGTGTCGCGGATCACGCCGGGAATTGCGCCGGGGCCGTGGACCGCGCCGGGGATCGCGCCGAGGCCAGGGACCGCGCCGGGAATCGCGCCGAGGCCGGGAGGGACGTCGCGGGCGGAAGTGACGTCGCGGGCGGGGGTGACGTCACGGGCGGAGGTGACGTCGCGGGCGGAGGTGACGTCGCGGGCGGAGGTGACGTCGCGGCCGGCAGTGACGTCGCGGCCAGGCGTGGCGTCGCGGGCGGGCGTGGTTTCGCGGGCGGGCGTGACGTCGCGGCCGGGCGTGGCGTCGCGGACGGGCGTGGTTTCGCGGGCGGGCGTGACGTCGCCGGCGGGCGTGATGTCACCAGTTACCTGCGACGCCGGCGAGTTGCCAGGGGCAACGGCCCGGGGGCGGAGGCAGCCCACAAGATTGACATTGCTCCCTGGAGCAGTTCCACGGCCCGCCTCGCCACCGCTTTGCGGCGGAGCGAGACGGAACCAGGGGGACCACGCCCCCGTGACAAAGGAAAGGGAGGGGAGAAGGGAGGGGCTCACGGGAAGGCCCACCCCCCAGTCCCCACCGCCCCCTACAATGGGGGGGCCCCCCCACACCACAAGGGGGGCCCATCCTACGTCACCAAGGGGGGGCAATTTGCACCACATAGAGAGCCCAGCCCGCAACCCAGGGGTAAGCCCACACTATGTAACAAGGGCGCGTTCACCCTGCTGCGACGCACTCCAAAGGGAGGAACCCCATCTTCGGTCCATTCACATCCATCCCCCATCATTTCACCATGCACCACAGGATAACGAGACACCGCCTGATCAGTGGCCGGACTCAGCCACACAATGGAGGAAGCTGGCAAGGCGGGTGGTAGCGGCCACGTCAGGAACCTCGGTCCTGGTCGGTGAAATCGCGGGAGTGTCGGCACGTATCTTGGTGGATACGGGGGCATCAGCCACGATCATCTCGAGCACCATGCACGAGATGCTGCCGGATAAAATCCGACCTTTAGTACCTGTCAAGACAACGTTCATTGCAGCAAATGGAGGCAGCATGGGCTTCCTGGGCCAGGTTGAAGCCCCGATACAGATTGGGCAGCTTTCGGTAGCAGGACCCATCCTTGTCTCCGCAACGTTGCCCGTACCCTGCCTGTTGGGGACGGACTTTCTGAGGCGGATGCCAATGAAAATCGATCTGGCCAATGGGCGGGTGGAAGTCCAGGGAACGCATCTCCATTTCCTAAAGGCGGAGGGGGCCAGCCGGGGTGTACCCTACGTGCAGGCTCTGGTCAGTAAGTCTGTCTCCATTCCCCCGGCAGCCCAGATG